ATGTAAAATATATTAAAATTTTCAACATTTTTGAAAAAATTTTACATAGGCGACTAATGATCTCCTATTTACTAGTGACCGTACGTTACTGAAGCTACATTGGACGCGCATGCGTCAGAAATCCGGCCCGTCTAACAACACTGTTGCCACCCAATAAGTGGCAAGCCGAAGATGAAACTGCAACGACAGAAAAATCATCAAATAGATGGAGTGTCGATCTGGCAGCGCTGGGGTGCGGACGTGTCTCCAGTCTCCGTGTTGTTTGGTCGTGTTGCGAGTATATTTCGCTTGCGAGTAGCTACTGTGCACTTTGTTTTAATTATTTGAACGTTTCTCGTTCCGGACTTCTGAACATAAACTTTGTGCCGTCACTGCAAAATACAGTGTAAAGGGCTTGATTCAATTTGAGGCACCATGCCTCAGCCCCCTGGGGTGGGGGATGATGGCTATGGCGGTGTTTCGAGCGCATCTTTCGCTCTCAATCCCCCGAATCTTATTCTAAATCCTTCTTCATACCTTCCGACTCTAATATATCTTCCCCTCCTAGTTCTCCGCATAGCGAACAGGCCTCTCAAATCCTATTAGAAGACATTTACAAGGAGGCTGGCCTGACAATGCCGGGCCCCCCTTGAGACCGGGTGATTGCGTCAGAGGACGGCATCAATAACGCAGGTAACGGATGCCCGGTGGGCCCAGCTGGGGCGATTTCCGTCACCTCTGGGCCTTCCAGGGACACGGATTCGTCCCCCATGGACATCGATGAGGAACAAAGGCAAGCTAAGAAACGAGCATTGCCAGGACTTGCAGAGGACAATACTCAAAACAAGCATGCACCTCCCGCCAAGAAAGGTGCATGCGCGAGCGTAAGTAATCCTGATTCGCCGTCCAGTGTTCGGGCGGATTTGCATGAAAATTCAGCCAACCAGAACTTGAGCATCAAAGTAACGCCGCGATACAGTCAGCGCGATACAGGCCCGTACGTTGTTTATGTATATCCTAACTCTCGAGACAATATCGTACATTCCACGCTCATAAGCCGCAATATAGTTAAAGCTGATATTCCTGACATCCTCGAAATCAAGAAAACTGGTAGAGGAAAGATAATGATTATAGTCAAAATCGCCTCGAGTGCCAATCGACTGGAAAACTCTGTGTTTACCAAACATAACCTGAAAGCATTTATTCCTTCTTTCAAGGTTCTTAGGACAGGCTTAATCAGTGATATTCCGCAACAAATCGAGCTGGATGTTCTAAAGGAAGGACTGGAATCGCCAAAAGCCAAGATAATTGATGTGCAGAGATTAAACAAGAGATGCGTCACAAATGATAAGATCGAATATGTCCCATCTAGGACAATCCGCATTAAGTTCGCAGGTCAGATCCTGCCGCAAGAAATCTTTCTGTTCAAGGTTAGGCATGAGGTTCGCCCTTATATTCCACTACCGAGAATCTGCCGCCTCTGCCATAGAGTCGGGCACGTAAGCGGCTCGTGCAAAAGCACTCCCAGATGTTTGCATTGTGGTGAGGATAAGCATGACAGCAGCGGTGATAACAGTGCAGATCAGGTGTGTCGCATGCAGGGGGAGAGCCCCAGATGCATCAATTACCAAGGCGACCATTGGGCCAATAGTCAAAACTGTCCAATGATTGTCAAACAACGCACTATAGTCAGTCTTGCTGCTGTGGAAAATATTTCCGTAGCGGACGCAAAAACCTGGGTTGAAAATGGTCAGAAACCCTCCTCTCTACCTCCCAACGCATCGCTGAGAAATAATATGAACAACTTTCCCAATCTCCCTCGCGGTAAGGAGACTCACTTCGAAAATCCTAACAGATTCAATCTTCTAGGTACTGAAGAACCTGAAAACGTGTACCGCTCATACGCTGAAACCTTAAAATCTCAGATTCAACCACAGCCACAGCCACAAAGAAACAAGCAGGTCTTTCGCAGAGGGAATACGCCGACGCCGACGCCGACGCCTACGTCGGCGCCTCCATCTCGCAGACACGCGGCTCAACCCAGCACGCTCCAGTGTGGCTATGATGAAGGGGCTCATCACCAGGTTCTCATCGAGGCTAACGACCGAGCCTCACACAAGTCTGGCAACGGCAGTTAGCCTTCTCCAATTACTCCTCCGAATGGTCAGAGTTTCGGGGTGCGTACGCAGGTAAGGCGACTGACGAGTTGGACTTTGCTGAGTTGCTTGCCATGGCAACTGGAATTTTTTCACACTTCCAGAATAACAATATTGCCGGCGCTCTTAGCGACATTTTCAGGCTTCTTAAAACTCTTGGTAAATACTTTTTTCAATCTCCTTCCTTTGCTCCTCATCCTGACAGAGAGGCGAGAGATTCTCCTAGAACCCCCCATATCATCGATGATTATAACAACAGGTTCGAACAGCAACAAGACACTGCATTCGATTACGATTATGAATTGGGTTGCAACTACAACTTTCGGAACTAGCTCATTTGCTTCACGCGATTATGCCAATCAGGTCAGTGACTTCCCGCGCGGCCCGCGTGGTCCTTTGTCTTCGCCATTGTCGCGCGACGACTCGGCGGATTGGGGATCGGTGGCGGCGCCGCCGTCGCCCTCACCGGTTCGCCGGCGTCGCGGGACTGGCACGGGCACATATTCGGGGGACAACGCATCTCACAAACGGTTCAACATCTTTCAATGGAACAGCTATGGAATTAGAAGTGGACTCCCTTCACTGCTTTCAATTGCAAAGGACTATCATGTTCTCTGCATCCAAGAAACCCTGCTTAAAAACAATAACGCCATTAATATTAAAGGTTTCAACGTATATAGAAAGGATATAACCCATCCAGGAGATCGAGGCATATGCACACTAGTAAGAGCGGATATCAAGTCTGAGCTTGTCGTCCTCCAGAATATTGAGCATCCATCGGTAGAATTCAATGCAGTTCGAATTGAATGTCTAACTTCTGAACCGGTGATTATCGTTAATGTCTACCGACACCTCGGGCAAAGAACTCCCGCTTCCTTCTTCAGATCTTTGCTCAACAGCTTGCAAGGTTACAAGAACCTTATTATTCTGGGAGATTTCAATGCTCATCACCCGGCATGGGGCTCCGGGACACACTCTAGTTCGGGAAGGACCCTTCATCAGATCATTGGAGAATATGACTTGTTCATATTCAATGGAAAAGCGCCAACCTTTGTGAGAGTCTCATCAGCTACTACCTCAACTATAGATCTGGTTCTGGCGTCTCCCTCCCTGGCACCTCTGTGCAGCACTAAAACAGAATCCGACACTCTCGGCAGTGACCACTTCCCCGTCATCACGACAATCGGCATCCAAGCTTGCTTCAAAAAAAAATTCTACTATAAAATACCGTTATCTAAAGAAATGTGCCAGGATCTGTCTCGGACTCTGCTCTCCGCTACCAAGGATCTTCCCGCTCAAGTTGGAGATGATTTATTAGGTTGCTATGACGCTTTCATTAACAATATTCTTGAGGTGGCCAGGAGCTTCCTCCCAGAGAGCAAGCGTTTTCCGCGCACCTCTGTACAAATAAAAAAATTAGAACTTCCGCCTTGGTGGAATGAGATATGCTCCGAAGTGGTTCGTGATAGAAAGAAAGCTATCAGAGAGTTCCTGTCCACCCCCTCTGAGGAGAACCATCAAGATTTCCGAAGGGCCCGCTTAAACTGTACCAAGGTACTCCTGGAACAAAAGCGAAGAGGCTGGCGCACCCTGGTGAATGGCTTCAATGCAAGGACTCCTACCAGTCAGATTTGGGCCTTGATTAAAAGTTTCAAGAGGAGGGCGTCGCAACAAGTCTCCCGGCAGCAAGAATACACACGGATCGCCATGGAAGCTATCTCCAAACTGTGTCCTCCGTCGTCCTTTTGTAATAGATCCAAAACTTTGACAGATATGAAATTGGAGGACGAGAAAAACACAAATACACATGCTGGGCTGGACGACCCCCTGACCATGAGCGAATACCGGAGAGCAAAAATTTCGTCCAGAAAAAACTCCGCGCCTGGATTGGATCAGGTCTGTTATAAGATGCTGGATCAGTTACCCATGGAACATGAGACCTATTTGCTATCTATGTTCAACGAAATCTTTTCCCAGGGAATATTCCCAGATTCATGGAAAACCTCGCTGGTTATATTCATACCTAAACCTATAAGGCGGCAATAAGGCGGTTAGACCTATTTCGCTCATGTCGTGTGTCTGTAAGCTTATGGAGCGAATTCTTTACCAGAGGCTGAGATGGTTTGTGGAATCTAACCCGATTCTTCCTCAGGCTCAGGCAGGCTTCAGGCCTTTCAGGAGCTGCGACGATAACCTAGCCGTTCTTACAACAGCAATCAGAACTGATTTCTTCGAACACTCTGTCACGGTTGCGGCTTTTCTGGACATTGCAAATGCGTTCGACAACGTGGATCCGTTTATCCTCTTGGAGGATCTGAAGGACATAGGAATTCCAGCTCTCTTTAGGAAATTTGTGGAGAACCTGATTAGCATCAGAATCATGTTTTTCGTGGTCGACGGCGAATCTCAAGGACCTTATTTAACATACAAAGGCACTCCACAAGGCTCTACTCTGAGCCCTCTGCTATTTGACATTTATCTCAGGAATCTAGGTCAACACTTACACCCTGACACCCGTTTTCTGCAATACGCCGATGACGTGGTACTCTACTCCGCACATAGAGACCCGAGGATTGCTGTTGAATCAGTTCAAGCTTCACTCAACAAGTTGCACGAGTATCTTAAATACAGAAATCTGGAATTATCTCCCGGCAAGTCTAGCTGGATTTGTTTTTCGCAAGGGCCTGCGAAAAAAACCTCATCAAAATTAGTAATTAATGGGAATCAGGTCCCCAGAGTTCATTTTCAGCGCTTTTTAGGAGTTATTCTGGATTCCGGTCTTAAGGGTGGTCATCATCTTAAATACCTTATTAAAAAAGGTAAAAAATCTCTGACATTATTGCTACCTTATCGGGTGTTACTTGGGGCTCCCATCCAGGTCTTCTGCTCACTCTGTATAGAGCTACCTTCCGCAGTGCGGTGGAATACGGGTGCCGTTATTTCACATGGTCCTCTTCCTCGCCGAGTTACCTCAAACTGTTGCGTTTGCAGTATAGGGTGATTAGGGGAGCTATGGGATATCGCATTTCGACGCCGATCAATGTTATGTTAGCTGAAGCAAAAGAAATCAGCTTTGACATTAGACTTAATTTAACTACTTCGAGATTCATTTACAAAGCCATGGCAAGCAGGTTTAGCTTGGTCTACCGTTCCCTGGAGGAAATGGAGTTAGCGGTTACCAGTAGGAATTGCAGGATCGACGCCATCAGTAAATCTAGACTGTTCAAGCACTACGTTACCAGTCGCGTAGAGAAGAGCATCATTCATCGATCCACCTACCCACCTGCTTATTGGCACTCCTATGAGGTCCTTACTCTACAAATAAATTACATTAGCGATTTAAAAAGCTGCGATAAGAAGGATAACCTCAGCTTGATTAAGGCGGATTTCTATCACAAATCCTTTAATTACAGACAGGATGCTGTCTCCTGGTACACTGACGGATCAAAAAGTCAGGACGGCGCGGTGGGCGCAACGGTCTTCACGCCTGACATGGAGGGAACAATAAAACACAAACTACCCTCTGAAACTTCAGTATTCTCGGCGGAACTATGGGCCATACTTCAGGCCATTCAGCTAATTGGGGATCTCAACACCAAGAAGAACGTCATCTTTTCGGACTCGGAAAATGCATTGGAGGCACTTAGCAACTCCACTAAGGCTCATCGCAACTACATAATCTATTACATTAAATAGGCTTATCTCAACGTTACCAAACAAGACAAGGAAATAATTTTTTTCTGAGTGCCTGCTCACGTCGGGATCCCAGGCAATGAATCTGCAGATGCTGCGGCCAAACAAGCAGCTATAGAGGGATACAAACCTCCCTTCAAGGTCTCTTACAAGGAACTTCTCACGGAATCTACTGCACAAGCGAACAGGCAGTCCGAAGAAAGTATGAAGATTGTTTCAAGCTCTAAAGGCACCCTGTATTATGAAAATTTCCATAACGCTTCGCCTAATAAAGCATGGTTCCATGGGACCAATTTATCAAGAGAAGAAATTGTAATGATTAACCGCTTGAGATCAAATCATATAAACGTCAATGAAAGTCTCCATAGAGTCAACATGGTGGAGTCTCCCGCATGTCCTTGCGGAGATCCTCGACAATCAATCGATCACCTCATATTCCATTGCGAAACCTTCAATTACAACTCATCTCCCATTAGAAATTACATAGCGCAGAAATTTCCTAATCCCTCCCCGAACCTCCTCCCGGCCCTTCGCTCCCCTTCTCCTAAACTATGTCGTCTGCTCTTGGCTTACATGAAGGCCAACGAGCTTTTCTTTTAGTTGCTTTACATTCTTTCCCCCCTCCCTTTCTCCTTTGGCGCGCGACTCACCATCGGGTGGTGGCAGGCGTCTGGTGGTGGGGAGGGGAATCGAGATCGCGCGTCATCACATCAAGTCGGCAACCCCCCAACGTTTAACAACCAGATATGCAGACCTCAATGGCCTAGTTTCAGCCTAATTGGCTGCCTGGCCAAATACTAGGAAGAAGAAAAAAAATCATCAAATGGAAGCAAATCTTGAGCAAAAAGGTTCCCTTATGGCCCAGGAATTGACGATGACGTGTAAGTTGAATAAATTATAAGTTTTACAATAAAGTTGTTCGAAAACTTTAAACACGTTTTTCTCAAAACCATATTTTTAAAGTCGGTTACAATGATAACTTGAAGATGGATCAATCTATTTGCCTTTTTTTTTTTACTGAAAGCTTATAAAATTCGCTTGTCGTTGTATCCGATTTTTAAAATATTCTAATGCTTTCTATTTTTTTTTAAACAAATAAATGAAATTTTTTATCGAAAATCGGCACTCTAACTTTAAAGGTCCGCCATTTTGTTTAAAATTCGAATTTTAAAAATCGGATACGTCAACGACAAGGAAATTTACTCTTCTTTAAGATGCCGTTTGATTTTTGTGTTTCAGATAAACGAGCAAGGAGAAATCATTGTAACCGCGGAATCATACGTGGCGTGCACGGCTGACTACACGATAGTGAAGTTGGGGGATTTTCCAATAAAATTATTTTAATAAAATTTGTATGAGAATTACAAAAGGTGTACTTTATTGTGCAAAAAATCCCATTTTTATAATTTGTCTCTTAATTTTAAAAAAAAATTCATGAAAAATGTCTTTTTTTTAGGCTCCAAACGTATATGCCCCCTTAAAACACGTTCAAGCCATTCTAAATCAAAAGTAGGCGTTACGATAACAATGTCATCCAAGTACGCGAAGGCGTGCGGTTCCATCTCCGGTCCGATTAATTTATCTAACAATCGCTGAAAAGTCGCGGGTGTTCCCGTTAACCCGTACGGCATTCGTGTAAAATGATAGAGTCCTTTACCCGGAACGTTGAACGCAGTAATTTCGCGACTATCTTTCGCCAGTGGTATTTGGAAGTACGCCTAGCTCAGATCTATCGTCGAAATGTATCACGCGGACCGTAATTTGTCTAAGATGCCGGTTATGTTAGGTAGCGGGTACGCGTCTTTCTTCGACACATTATTTACTTTACGAAAGTCTAAACAAAACCGATATCTTCGGTTAGGCTTTTTAACCATCACGATAGGATTCGACCATTCGCTAAACGATGGTTCTATTATTCCGGCCGTTAGCATCTTATCGACCTCTTTGCGGATAGTCTCCTGAACTTTCGGCGAAACCAAATAGCAACGTTGTCTAATAGGCGCGTTCTGCCCTACATCTATTTTGTGTTTCGTGAGAGAAGTGACACCAGGATTCTTGACAGCTCTCGGTATCTTATTTTCGAGAAAATTCGCTAAACGTCATTCTTGATCGCGATTCAATTCCGGAAGTCCACTACAAGCGCTCATCTCACCCTCTCTCATATCTTCAAACGTATGTCGCTCCTGAGGGCGACTGGCAAAATGCCATTCCGACGATGCAAAATCTAAACCGATACCAAACGCGCACAAGAAATTTATCCCCACAATACACGGAACAGCTAAATTCGAAAGTAAACAAACAGTAATTTCTCGCGACACTTCCTTCAACTGCAATGACAATACAATCTCTTCTCTAATTCCCGCCATCTGTCCATTAGCGGTACGAATCCGAAAATGTTTAGTGGGGGTGATTGTTAGGCCCAATCGGCGCACTATCTCAATCCCCTCATCACCTAAAAGTGTCCGGCTCGATCCGTTCGGCGCACCGCAGCGAAAACAATACGTACGTCAACTCTCAACACATTCTCGCGCGATATGTCCGGTTTTCCCGCAATTCCAGCATTTAACCGAGCTGGTTATTCGCGCGAGAGTCGTCGTCGAGGTCGAGGGAACAGGTGTCTCCAATGACGCGGCCGTCCCTACTCTCCCCGCAGCTGCACCACCTCGATTGCGGTTCGCGGTCCTCCTATTGTCGGCGATTGCCGGAACCAAAAATTCCGCCGCTCCCCCGCCCCGCGGAGTCTTACGAGGGCGATAGGCTAACTCCGGGAACAAAGATTTTTCCGGCGTGGGTGGAGGTCGACGCGTTGCGCCAGCTCGGTGGCTCCCTTCCAAGCCAAGCCTTTTCTTTATCTTTCCAAGTAGTTGCATTACTTTGTCTGTTTTCTATTATCGACTTATATTTTTCGACAAGAGCCACTAAAAGCTGTTCTTCGTCTCTTGAAAAGTTGATTCGTTTGTTGTAAGAAATTTCTATATTTACTATATAAATAAAATTTAAATTATCAAAATTTAATTAACAATATAAAAATTAATAATATAATATATTATAATATAATATAAAAATTATCAGATCAGTAGACATCGGATTTCTTATGCAGATATTTGTGCAGACATGCACAAAATGTACAAATACGCACAACATACACAAATAAATAAATGAACGCATTTTTAGAACGCTTTTCTAATAAAATAAATTTTACTTTAAATATTTTGATGTTACTTTCCAATCTACTCTCTAAAAAAATTAGTAATTGCATAAGAATCCGATGTCTATTGATTACTTTATATGAATAAAACAATGAATTTCTCACATTTTATAATATACGTTACACAACAAACTTTTTTTGGAGATTCAATATTTATTTGTCGTATCTAAAATTAATTTTGAAGATTTATCCATTTATCGAGTAAATGACTGTATCATGTAAACGAAAGTTTTATAAATTCAATTCATAGGTTAGATTTTTGTCGTTTCTTCTGGAACACGAATGCCAACATTAAAAATTTATTGAAGAATACAAGTTTACTGAAGGTAGATTAACCGATAATAAATTATGCATTGAGAAACGCAGTGACATTTAACTTGAAGGTAAATCTTGTGGTTAAAGTAATCTGACTAGAGGAATTAACCGCATAATGAAAAACCGGGCCTAAGTAAGTTGCCGATAACTTTAACTGGGAGATATCTTCCAGATATCTTTCAAGTATCTCATTTATCCATAAGATATTTGGGGGATATCTCGTGTATAAGATTATCTAAAAATGAAGAAATTGGCCATAAGTCAAGATTTGGCTCGTGTTTTAAATATATTAGGTGTTAAACTTAATTCCTGCCGTTTTTTCGTCTCCAAAATTAATTTGTTTCGAAGAAAAGATGAATGAATACCTCAATCAAAGTAATTTCCTTCATTTTCTACTACTTTTTCCCATCTCTCTGGCAATAGGGCAATCCCACGACGGTAGAATGCAGTGTCTTTCGAGGCGATCCATTCATTCACCCATTTTTGGACTTCGTTGCGATTGGAGAAGTGTGTGTCCGTAAGTGCGTGTTGCATCGATCGGAAGAGATGATAATCCGACGGTGCCAAGTCTGGAGAGTACGCTGGATGCGGGAGAACTTCCCATTCAAGCTCTAGAAGTGCCTGCTTCACGCTTTTCGCGACATGCGGTCGAGCGTTATCATGCAACAAAATGACTTTGCGTCGATTGTTGGCTACGGATGATCTTTTTTGCATCAATTCGTCATTCAATCGATATAATTGCTGTTTGTAGCGATCAGCTGTAACGATTTCATTTGGACCCAAGAGTTCGTAATACAGCACACCTTCCTGGTCCCACCAAACGCAGTAAGGTCTTATGCCCGTGAATATTCCTCTTCGGCGTTAAAGCGGATGGTTGGCCGGGGTCCACCCATGATTTTTTCCGCTTGGGATTATCAAAATAAATCCATTTTTCATCGCCAGTCACGATGCGCCACAAGAAACTCTTTTTTCTTTGCCCCGCAAGCAAAGAAGTCGCAATAGTCAAACGTTTTGAAATGGCACTTTCTGACAACTCATGTGGTAGCCATTTCCCTTCCTTATGGGTCTTTCCCGTGGCATGCAAGCGTTTTGAGGCAGCC